TCTACCAGTAGCTCCCAAATCATAACCAGCTCTGTCCAACTCATCAACTTCAAAAGCAGTTTTATCATACATAGAATGGTTTTCAGTCACATGACCCACCTTCATAGGCCGACCAGCTATTTCAAATCCATTTAAATGTTCAAGGGCTTTTTTAGCATCTTCTGCATTGCGATATGTTAAAAATCCATAGCCTTTGGATCGACCTGTTTCAGTGTCCATCATTAACTGTATGTTATCAACGTGTCCAAAGGGTTCAAATATTCCTCTTAGCATTTCTTCAGTGATATTGTAGTGTAACGAACCAACATATAATTTCATTGGTCCATAATGTGTACGTTGTACCATATTTGGCATTGAATTAGCCATGCGGTTTTTTTCGGCCTGTGTGGGTTGTACAACAATAGGAACGCCTAAAAGCTTTTGGCCATTTAGACCCATAGCAAGTGGAACAGATTCTGGATCTTTAAATTCTATGTAAGCAATACCCTTAAACCGACGAGTTTTATTACAAGTAATCATTCTAACATCCCTGACTTTGCCGACAGATGAAAAAAATTCTTCTAAATCTCTAGCTCGAATTGTCTTTGAAAGTTGCATACAAAACACTGTCCTAGCATCTCTTTCTTCGGGAGTTAACATGCTAGCTGGTGGCACTTTGGACGCCAGAGGTGATGGTTTTCTACCGTAGCGTGGAGGAGGTAAAGGTGGTCCATATTTGGGTAGTTTGACAGGAGACCGTGTACGACTCCTTTTGTCTTTAGAACTGCGTCGGCGCGAATGTCGATCTCTGGAACGACTACGATGTCTGTCTTTAGAACGACTTTTTCGTCGATGCTTGCGGTCGTCTTTGGACCGACTGTGTTTGCGAGCCTTGTCGCGCGACCGAGATCTAGTACGATGGCGACTTTTACGGGACTTGTCTTTACGTGATTTTTCCTCAGTGCCGTTACTCTCTTTTGGCTGCGCTTCCGGCTCTTTTTTGTTAAAGGGTGCTTCGAGCAACGCTTCAATGTCAAAATCGTCCGCCATTATCAATTTGACTGGAGATGGAAGGAAACGGCAGGACAAGATTGCGTAACAAAACAAATAGTATTAGTTCGGCACAGGCCACGGACTTAACTACGTATATGTAAGTATATGTAAATATATTATATTGTGCGTGGTGTAACGGACGTTTTATCGTCCATCTACGCGAAAAGACAACTGGTGTGACGGGGACGGTGATTATGCAACAGTCGTAATGGAGAGATAAAATAACGTGTCCGGCCAAGATTTTACAATCAGCCTAGCAACGCAAGTGGACACACACAACACACACACAAACACGCTCTCAAGGTATTGCAATGACGCAAGAGTTAGGTAGGTTTTCCGAAACGGAGAAAAATCTAGAAAACGTGAACCTAAGAGTTTGAGGAAAGTGTGGTAAGCACGCTCGGGCGACGAACTCGGTCCCGGCCAACAGGCGAGAAAAAACGTGTCTCACGGACCAACGATGAGGTGCATAATCACCGAATGATCGTGCGCGTTTACCGCGGGGCGAAAACGAAAAAAAGTCGTAATAAAATAATAATGTTTGTTCAAGTGTGGTTTAACTCACCATTTCCTTGTCGTGTAGTGTGCGGCGTGAATACGGTGGAAGGATTTCGGGCGGACTCTTCCGTCCGTCTGCTGCTCGTCTGTGACTGACACTATTCGTGTTGTCGGGACATCTTTGAAACGATTAAAAAACAATTAATGAACGTCGTGTGGGCGACCAACGAACAACAAAAAACGGCGTCTCTAATGACACGGGTGATGCGCCGAAACAACGTGTTCGGGACGCCTGCTGAAGTTGTGGGTTCTGTTGCGGTCAGAGGAACGGACATGCCAGGGCCAGTAGTACGACCGGTTGATGTTGGCGACGGTATTGTGGTAATGATGCCGCGTCGCGCCACTGTACATGTACCTCGGTCATGGTTACTGTTACCGGTTTTCCGCGATGGAATGGGCGCGTTTGCGCGGCGCTTTCGAATCTTAGATTGAAATTTAATATTGTGATTATTAAATGCGTCGTCGTGTGATTAAAATACTTTGAAGAAAAGTTACTTAACAACTTTGATTACAACGGCATAATAACAAACAAACTAAAATTTGAAACATAGTATTAAAAAAACATTTTTTATTAATTTAGGTCTCCTGCTTGGACAAATGGTTTCAAATCACAATTCACAACAGTGTTATGTTTATAATTATATGTATAAATGGTATTGAAATATTATATATTACATATTGTGAACATAGAAAAATTTTACAGAAAAAATATTAGAATAATAATAGAGAAGTTAAAATGTTTTCATAAACTCTAAAAGACTAAAAGTTATAAATTTTTCGAGTGATTTTTTTCCGTGACACGTCCTCTTAAGTGTAAAAAGCGGGTAAGCGGATGTCGCTCTGTCGTAGTGTTGTACATTAGGTTTATAGAAGGTCGCGGTATGGATGGTAATATTAAATTTGTATTCAATGATGTAATATAATTGTATACGAAAAACGATTCTGAACGGAGACGGTATGTCAGTCTAGAATATTTGATATTGTTGTTAGCTACTTATTCTTAGTTTTTAATACAGTAGCCGGTAAGCTGAATTAATATAATTCTTAAATTAACAGTGATGCTGGAAAAATATCATAAATATTTATGTAAAATGTATGTCTTGGAACCGAATTACACCAAAATAACTAAAATTGTTATTCTTTGTGTTATTATATAGGTAATTTCATCTAAATTTGAACTTGAAATAACTAAAATTTATGACTATTTTTAGGTTTTTTGGTTACAGAATTAACTACTTACGTAAAACATTGTATTACATTTTCAATTAACTATACAAAAAAAAAATAGTGCCCATATATTTTGAATATTTTTCAACTCTATTGTAACATTTGTAACAATATATCAAGAGTATTTATCTTGTATTACATTTTCATGTTTTTTGACCCAACCAGGAAAACCAATAAAATTTAATTGACGTTCATAAAAAAAAATTGTTTTATATAGGTATAATAATGTCCATAAACAGCTTAAAACGAGTAAAAATATTTTGAAAATTTTATCAAGTATATGAATTGATAAAATAAACACATGGTATAAATTAAATCAAGGGTAGGTATCTATAGTTATTCGTTTTTGAATTACAAAAAAATAAAAAAAACTCTAAATGAGAAATCTAGTGACTATCCAATGTTGTAAAAATGTCAACTTCAAACACTCATAAAAATTTAATTTGACTTTTCGGTTGAATTTTTTTTGGTGAAGGTAGAAAATCTTAGTTATGAAAAGAAATTTTTTTATGAATTTCCAATTTAAAAATATTTTGCAAATTGTCATGATTTCGAAGTATTTTGTTGAAATTTGAAACTCAGACGCTCATAAAATATTACTGTGGACTTACGATCACCTTTTTTTTTAAATCTCCACTAACAATTTGTGAAGAACCTTGCATTATATTTTCAAGTTTTTTAACCGGGCTAACATATTTTTTTTAGACATAAATCGAAAAAAAAACTAATAATAATCGAACATTTCATACGTCTATAAGTACTTAGTTGAACATGAGTCAAAATATTTTGAAAATTGTATGGTGTATAGAAAATGCTTACTACATAAATACATAAATATTCAGTGAAACTTTATGTATCTTAATTTGGTCATCTTTTTAGAGTAACACTAAAAAATATTTTTTCAAAAACTTGGTTTTGCATGAAAATTCCCCCTTTTCATACATTTTTTGTTTGTTTTTTCTATCGCTTTTGACAACTGTTGGAATTTTAAATTTTGACCTCCCGAACGCATCCATTAGATTCACTTTCCTATCAGAAAAGTCGCTGTTGAAGAAAATCGAAGAACTTTTACTGCCCCAAATTGCAAAAAAAAATAAAAGAACACATGTCATTGTAAAATCAATACATTCATCGCTCAGCTCTGACTCTAAAATTAAACCATAATATGAAAAAAAAATGTTATCTATAGTTTTTACCTTTTTTTTTGTTGTTGCTTATTTTAATATTTTAATGTTTTTATTTAAGTGCTTATAATGAAGTATTTAATTGCTTTTTTAGGCACCTACTTTGATATTTATAAGTGATATTAGTCCCAAACCCTGCTAATAAGTTATATAACTATATAACAACATTACAACATATTGTAATAATATATGCTTAAACTTGAAAATGATTATTGCTTACCTTTTTTTTGGTAAATTATTTAAATTCAGTTAAATTTGAGACAATCAAACAAATAAAACAGTTTTAAATTTAATTACAAACAAATTATTAAACAATTTCTATCATTTTTTTACCATGTAACGAAATATTTTCAATTTGAGGAATAAACAAATATGATTTTTTATGAACAAATAATGTAATATATTCTTAAATGTTAAGTGTTGTCTGAAATTTTTTTAATATTCAAAATCAATTTTTTTCTACAATGATGGATAAGCGTCGAAATGTTTCACCCCTGTTGGCCGTTGAACTGCATAAAGTCAATAAATTTATTTAATAACCAAAAAATCCACTCTCCAATTATTATTTATAAACTACAATAATCATCTATTTATTGTATATGGTTATAGTTATTAAATAGTTATGTAGAATATCATCAACATCATGCAAAAGTGACTAAGAGAAAAAAACAAAAATTATGATGTCATATAAAATTTAAAAAAAATTTACACTTGGTTACTTTTTATGTGATGACCACAATATGAGGGATGCGATTTTGGTACTTGGTGATAATGACTTTATACTTTTTTTTAAAAAAGGTCAAAATTAGACCATTCTAAAATATTATTATTTTTATAGGTATGTTAATAATAAAAATAAAATAGACTCAGTCCAATTGCTTCACATTGAAGATAATTCAAGTTAATACAAATAAAAAATACAAGAATAATTTATGACATTTAATATTTATTTAAAAAAATAATGTTAAGTATAATAGATCATAAAATTGCATTTTAAAATTTTACATATACTATTATAATGTTGTATATTAACTGACTAGATTTTATTGGTAAAGTTAAGTACTAAATGGCATATGTCATATCACTTTAACATAAATATTGATAAATTCAACCATTTAATACTTTTTTAATGATTAGTTTATGAATTATAAATAAAACATCATATAATCCTTAATTATATATTATTTGAAGAGGTATTTAATACTTATAAATTATAATAATAATAATAATTTGAAATAGAATAACTTTTTAACATTAAATATTACTTAATATTATAAATTGTAAAATAAATTGTTTGATTAAAATGTAAATCAAATTGTATGGAAATTAAATCAAAATAATATGTACTAAGTATTTTTTTGAAATAAATTTTGTGAGATCATAACATTCATAACTTTAGTTTATGCAGAGCTGCTCAGTCTCACCAAATTCAGTAAACATTTCACCATCCATTGTATAACTTATCACATATTTTAATGGTATAACTCCCTATAAAGTAATTCAATCAAAATTAATGTTTAAAAAATGATCACTTATAGAAATAACTAACTTTATTTAGAGTTGCGACTAGTATGATTTGTACAATGGTTTCTTGTGGTAAAAATGCATTATAAATAGGAAGATTGGTTCTTGATTGTGGTAATACACGTAACCTACAGTCCTAAGAAAATTAAAATAATAATAAGTAAAAATAAATTTTATTATTGTTTAAAAATGTAATATATTAATATTTTACTTTCGGAACAACCGGCTGGAATGAAAAATTAAATAATGGCATTCTACATTTGCTTCTAGTTGTAACGACAAAAACTGTTATGTCTTCTCTTGGCTTATTTGCTGCTAAATGTAGTTCTGTACTAATAGCATTCTTATTAAATAAGCTCACAATGGTAGAATCAGGACCTTGAATAATTTTAAAATAAAATAAAAATTGGTTACTAAAAATATTAATACATTTTAAACATATATAAATATAATAATTCTAAATCATAAAATATTATGAATTTTAAATTTTGGAATTACTTTATGTTATTGATGTACCTATTATTTAATTTTAAATTGTAAAAAGTTAAATCTATGTACGTACATGGAATAATGTCTTCAAGTTTAATACTAATATCACCGAGAGGTTTTATCTGAAAACCACAGTTGTTTGGTTCAAAATAAATTGAATCTTTTGTGTCTAACAATGGTTCTTCTGATAGACCATTTGTTTTTATATTATCTGAACTGAATTCTGTGTCTGTCAAATTAAATGGTCTGTAAGATAATAAACATTTATGATTTATGTAAATACATATATATTTACAACTATAGGATAATAACTTACTTTTTAACTATTTTATTTTCATTAGGTTTGTTTAAATTAACTTTTCCAAGAATATTTAATTCTTCAAATAGGTCCACATTTAACAGACTGTCTTTATTTTTTTCATGTTTTTGAGAATTTATGACTTCTAAAAAATTAATGTCACAATTTGATTTTAATTATGTATAAATATTAATTACCTATTCATACATTATAGAAAACACTTACCAGGCAACGGAGGAATACATTCTTTTAAAGAATGCGACATTTGCAAAAAATCATCTAGTTCCTGAACATTGGCTGATCCATTATTTGAAAAATTATTCCTCTCACAATTAGATTCACTTAAAAAGTCTTCTTTCCCTATAATTATTAATTGAAACAACAAGTCACACATTAATATCATTTTAATTAACTACCAAATAGTTGATTATCAGAGATTAAAAAATGTGACATTATACAAAACCAAATTATTTAATTAAAGGGAAAAATAAGCAGTTATTGTAAATGAATGGTAAAGTTAAGAAATTATAAACTATAATTAACTCTTTTGCATGAAATAAGCACATATATTTTACCAGGTGAAATAGATGACATATTAAGGTCCAACAAATTTTCCTCATTTTCTTGATCAATTGGTTTTTTATAGTTGAGATTATCTAAAACTTCATTGTATGTTTTTAATGTTTCATTTACTTCATAATTAAGTTTAATTATTTTTCCTGTAAAAAAACAATTTATTGTTTGAAAAGTTAAAACACATTAAAAAATAACACTTTTTTCTAAATATTTAAATTTACCATTTAGTAAGAACTAAATTGATGGTAGCTAAGTATTATTGTCATAAATAAATGGTGGAGTATAAGTTTTATGAGAAAAATATTGCTATAAATATAGGAACAGAAATAAATCATTGCCTGTAGCAATGATAAAAAAAAACATTTTTAGAGAATTTTTATGGTGTATACATCTTAGTAGTTATTACAAACATAACAACTTACTCATAGCTAAGGGTTGAATACAGTATAAACAAACATTAGTTAGTAGGTAAGTTTAATACAAGATTTGCCTTTATTTTGGAGGGGGGGGATTCATATATTGTAAATTTCATATATTATTGTTATCTTTTATGAAAAAATATATTATTATTATTAAGTTGTTAATATTGTATTACTATCAAATATTAACCAAGCAAAATCACAATAAAGATACTTACTAACAGTGTCCTCATTTTCTGGAATTTCTAGTGATAACATTGTTTGAACTTTTGGTTCCAGTTCTTTTACAGTATTATACAACTCTTTAATAAGTTCTAAATCATTTAACGAACCAGAACCATCACAATAGGATTTGAGCATTTCTGATAGTAATTTAACATTATTTGAAGTTACTTCAATATCAGCCAACATACTACTAATCCTTACTGCTTTCTGCTCTTCCTATATTATAACATTAATATGTTATTACAACTTTACAATTGTAATTTTTCTTACATACTTCTTCAACCATAGATTTAATTAACTCGTTTGCAGCTTTGAGATCTTCTGATTTTTTACTTTTAAGCAACTTTTGCAGCAATAATGATTTTTCTCCATTCAAAATTGACACTTTATTAGAATCCAATTTAGAAGCAGAAGCTGCTCTTGATGACATATTTTCAAATAAAAAATCCTATAGAAAATAATGAATATTACAAATTTGTTAAATATTTAAATTATAAAATATTACCTTGACTACACCTTGTTTTTTTAACATGTCTAAGGCATCTTGTATCTTAATTTCTTTGGGGAATTGCGATGACCATAAGCCAAGAAGTTCAATTATTTTGTTTTTTATCAACTCTGGTGTATGCATTTCATTGCAGTTGGGAGATACCAAACGTATAAGTTCATTAAGGAAACGGAATTTGCCAACTTCAGCTTGGAAACTGGCACTACCAGTCTGCATACATATGTCTAATAACTAAAATACATTTCATTACTAAATAATTTTAGATTTGACTTATTTATTGCAAATGTCAAACATACATGGAGAGCTTGTAAAGCTTCCCACTCTTGCATTGAATGAATTTTAGCTAAAATACACTTTGCAGCTAATGGTGCACATTCTGGATCTCTTTGTACAAATCCACTAAATGCAATCATTGCAGCACTGTCAATTTTTTCATTGCTATTTTTAGTTGCTCTTTCTAAAATTAAAAATTAATTCATTATAAATTAATTGTTATTTACATCAATATGTTTTGTTACATTATTTAAAATTTAATATGGCGTTTCACATTAGACTAGTTTTTTTTATTTTTAATTATTTAACTATTTATCACAATAACTAGCGGACAATATTTCTATCAAATAATAACTATTCCAGGCATTGGTTTGATTTGTATATATATTAGTTGATGTTAACTGCTATTTCTTCAAGTTTTTGGTATCAATCTGATCTAGGATTGTAGGAGTATAGTATACTACTATTTGTTTACTATAAATTAGTATCACCATCAATTATTATTGTCAAAATAGAGAAAAGACATTTTTATGCTATTTTAAGTCATATTTATTTTAAAGATGTAATATTCATTATTTTCTTCTTTCTTACTTAGATTATTTTTATAACTGCACCAAACTGGTTGAGCTAATTTTTTGGTTTTTATTTCATGTATGTTCAGAAATTGTACTCAAACATAAATTAGGCTTCATGGTAGGAATATAAATAATATATTTCAAATTTTTCTACATCTGTTTTCTTCTCTTTTCATTAAAGTTGTTTGTTTCTTTGCTAAGACAAAATACTATTTTTCTTACACAGCTCTTTTATACAAATGTAAACTAAAAAACAAATTCATAATAGTTTATTTGAATACAAAAATAAAATCATATAAATATAATACTAAAACATGTTACTAGAAATTAATGGAAGTATCTGAAGATTTTTAAGTTTCAGCCACAACAGCATTATTTTTAAATTATTAGTTTTGACAAGAAATATAATATGCTACTTTTATCCAGGAATAGTTATAGTACTTTTTATATTAAGCCAAACTCACATGTGATATTTCCATTTTACAAGGTTAGGTACATTGTACGCTCTAAATAATCTATTAAACTCTGTCATAATTAATATTGGAGCAAATTGACCTATTATCAAATTTAGAAATAAGAATATTATTTAGTGAACCCCATAGGTTATTTTTATATTTTAATTTTAAAACAAGTTATGAGTATTATTAAATGCATTTACATATTAACCATAACAGAGTTACGTCGATTATTCAGAACGTACAATTTGCCATGTTACGCGTTTGAACGACGGAGACAACATATTATGATTGAGTGGCGCCCTCTTAAATATAGAAATTTAGAAATCTAAATTTAGGAAGATCATATGAAATCTCATATATTTTATCCAATTATAAACTTTTATACAATGAAATAATTACCCATATTACAAGGAAACTATTTGTATTTATTAATATTGGCAAGCAGCATGCTGTAAAGAACAAAGTCTCTAGACACTTCTAAAACAATAATCACTTAACAATATTTATACAAGCCAAGTAGCAATCAGTTGCCAGTTGGTTATGTATTAGCTTTACAGAAGTAAAATTTTCATGTAAAAATCAAATGGTATTTTGTAGTATGTTGAAATTATTACACATGGAAATAAGATTAGGTATATATTATATATGTATTGGGTTTATAAATAGTTACAATTCATATATTTTAATTAATTAACAATTGAAAATCAAACATCATAAGAACTTTAGAAATGAAATAAATAACTATTTTAATTTTACAACTTAAATATTTAAATACACTTTCAATAGCAATAGGTAAGTACATAACGAGCGGGTTTTATATAAGCGGGAGGTTCTTTTAATTTGAATTAGTCAAACTTCTAAAAGACTGAATAGTAAATATCTATTATACATAAGAACAATCAATGAGGATTTAAAAATAGTTCAACCAGTTCTTTTGGTGCTTTTAAAATATGATTCCATTTATCATATTTTTGTATTTCCAATGATTTTTTTTGGAAAAATAGGTTTTTAAATTTGTCATTATTTAAATGTTTATTCATTTGATTAATTCACATAAAGGGAATCATCTAACAAAAAAACATAGGTGTTTCAGTTACTACTATAATATGAAATACAAAACATATTTTGTTAGATGCCCCAGCACTGACAATATTGTCTAAAATTAAATACATTTTTAGTAAATTGAATACAGCAATAACTTATTTGTTTTATATATTTTAAATGAAAATATAATACAGGTATAAACACAAAAAAAAAACAAAAGAAAAACCATTATAATCTCACAAGAATAAGTACCTATTATAGTGGTACTCATCTAATGTTTTCAAATCAACAACAGTTGTTGTCAACAAAGTTAGTAACCTTGTAATAAAATATAAACATAGAAATTACATTGTTACGGGACACAAAAATGTTTGTATAATAATATGGTATTAGTAGTTATAAGTTAATCACACGTGGTCAGCGTATTATTAGTGTCTAAAGTGATATTATATAATATATACGACTGATTTACATAATGGAATTAATTCACAAAGTAGAAACTTCTTATCTGTAAACAACCCACGACGAGTGTATTTATTCACGGTATCTAATCGACGCGTACACCATACAGACGCAATTTGAACTCACCGATTAGAGCTTCTAAGCTCGTGGACACTATAATTGGATCGATGTCCATCATTGAGTGGCGATCATTCGCAATGTGCACTACGAACACGGGAATATGGCGACGAATACACGTATTTAAAAGCACAGACAAGTGGCTACAACAGTGGTACTGTTTTGCACCCACCCGATTGCGTCGCACACTTGTTAATAATAATGTATTTTACTCGACACATCGACGGTCGCAATCGACTGAATTGTTGCAGTGCTAAAACACTGCTAATGACCCGTCATTATTTTGACTTGGGAGTCGGCGTTTGGATTTGGACTTTGAACGTTGTACGCGGAGTGTAAAATTGTCGAAAAAAAAAAATTGTGCGCAAGTGTGCGTGGCCGAATGGCTGATACGAGCGGCGCCGTTATCTTCCCCTATCATCTACATTATCACGAAAAGGCATACTCTGCGTGAAAACGGGATACGTTTTCCGATTTTCATACGGCGCGTATCACAGCCGCGGCGGGTGGGTATGATACCGTCATAATTTTACGCTGGACACCAACTAAGGACAACTTTACTAACCATAACTAACCGGACATTGGCCACTTGTCCGGCGCTGAAACTGATGTGGTCTTCGCGGTACGTGGTTTTCGTCGAGGGAACCAGACGGGTTTCGCCCGAATTCCGACATTACTACAACGATAATTATTGAATTATTCCGATTCAACGATTTACACAGTCGCAGATACCCCACCCACGGAGTTGTAAAAACAAAACACACTCCATAGGTATAATCATGAATAATATGGTCTTCACGGGCATGAGTTTCAAGGATGATAACGGAAAGAGGAGGGCGCCATTGTGGTTGGGCACGATTCAGTATTTTCGTATCGCGTGATAGACGACAGTGTCACGAACTATACTATAATTTTATTACTATACTATTATTAACTATTTCACCAACCATTTCATTATACGTCTTGTCTATATCATGATACCAACTCCAATAGGAAATAAGAGAAGTGTGGTGTTGGGGTGCAATGCCGCCGGGGGCACACTTATTTTGACGCTTCGTAACCCCCTTCCCTACCACAATATCGATCATTAATAAAAAAAAAGCTGTTAGAGATAATAAGTGTATACCTATGCTCCTATAAAATAAAGATACTTCGTTTTGCTATGGAAACTAATAAAAACGACTGAAACATTTATGAATATGATTTTACATGTATGAAAGTATTGATAATTTCGAAAAATCGTCCATTATTAAGTATCAAGTAGAAGAAATGCCTAAAGGCTAAAGTATATAGACATTGCGAATGACACTTTTACATCATACATCTTGCTACCAAAAAATGGAGTCAATGTAAATTACACAAAAAAAGCACACATCAATTAGACGTCATCATTGTAAAAACGAAGTATCCATCGCTTAGTATTTAGAATATCAATTTGTAGGTATTTAATAACTTTAAAATGTTATATCGGTATTGTGTAATTATATTATTAACAAATTTTTCTCGAGTATAATATAATAGTTTATGATGATGCTTAGGAATTACTTCCAATTTTAAGTGTATGATTTTGTTTTTTCTTATATTCTTGTTCGATCGACGTAATTTCATTCTTTCCGAAGACATTTAAAATTCACTTGTTAATTATCAACAATATCTACACGGTGATGATTGCAATGGGAAATGCTTTAGCAAACTATTCACTGTGTACTGATATACAATAATTGTATATTATTATTAAGTACTAATTATTAAGTGAGTAACTACTGACTACCTATACTGAGCACTGGCCACTGAGTAAATGTACGTTTGTATAATAATGATCATGGTTGGGATTTTAAAGCACTTAAAATCAGTGGCGAATCCAGGATTTAATTTTTTTTTTTTTGGGTGGGGGGGCATAGCCCAAACGCAAATCTTAAATCTTGAATTCTTATTTTTTTTATTCATTAAAGATTATATTTATATTATAATAATATTGTAAGAAATTTATGCGGGCCCGGCGGAGGGCACAGGCAACACAGGCCTATGCCTGGGCCGGAGTTATGCAAGAGGCGGAATTTCCTTGGTAGTAGGCAGGGCCGCATTTTGGATAATATGTTGCTACTTAGCCTATAACGCAAAAACCGAAAACCGTTTTTGAACCACTTATGAGAAAAAAAGAAATTATTTAATTTAGTTTTGGACGGGACGGTTTATGTACAAGTACCTACACTACCTACAAATGTATAATACACTAAAATTAAACGTGTATATCAACATTCGATTTTTCCCCGAAATGACGACGTCGCGTTCGTCGAACGTCGGTAACTATATATAACTTCACAGAATAATTGTTCTGTAACAATAATGTACTAGATTATTATTTACTATAGAAATTGTTTATTTTTGGCGCGGCGACACGGGCTATGAGCTGATAATACTATAGCAGAGCTCAATAGTATTAGGTATTTGTTTTTCATCCGTCGCTTTAAAGTGACCAGCAATTTTTTTACAATTACTGACAACGGTAGCTGAAAACTTAAGGTATCGTACCCATGTTATAGTATATTGTATGATTTGTATGTATATTTTTGTAAAATAAATGTGTACCTATATTATTAGTGATTAATAAATTGAGTAATTAATGATTTTGATAATAAATATTATAATTGGTATATAATATTAGCGTGAATGTTATTAAAGTTATTCGATCTCATGAATTTGAATTATAAACTGTTCACTGTATAAACATTATACGTAGACTGTAGAGTATATACATAATAATAAACTTTTTCCGAATTATAATAATTAAATTAAATCTAGTTAATCCTAACTTTTTTAAGCAATGTTAATTTATTACAAAGATTATTATTTTTAATGCGAATTAGATGTTTGTATTATTGTATACATTAATATACTTTAATATATATCAAAAATTAAAACAGGTCTATTGTCTGAAAAAGCGGTACATTTGATATTCCGTTAATTAGTATTGTATTATTTATATTTGTATTGTATTATTATTAAATTAATTATTAAAATAAAAAAATAAATAATAAACAATTTAAATATTATAGCATTTGTTAACAACAACTTTTCCTTACTAAAATACAATTTTTTCTTAGAATTTAAAAAAAAAGAAAAGTTGATGTGTTTGGGAGAATTTCTTATATAATAAACACATTATAAACGATAAAATCGTAAAAATTAAATTAAACACTATTGAATTATTATAACTTAACGTATGCCAATGGAGGGGGGGAGGTGAGGTCCTTCGGGCCCTCCCTTAAATCCGCCACTGCTTAAAATTTTACTAAAACTACACTGATTTTAAATTACTTTTTCGATTGATCGGTGGTAAGTCACCGCATCCAGACATAATATACTTTGTAAACATTGGTAAAAAGTATCTCATTCCAATAATAAACTTCATTTACTGGTTTCGATAAACAAAGAATACGTTAATACTATATTATTATTATAATACCATATGGATAATAGCGGTTACGGCTTCGTCTTTCTAAAAGTTTTTGTTCAGATTATGGACGTTTTGAAATAATGAATCAATACCTTGTTGGTATCTAATTTTGATAGAGAATTTTTGACAGTTAAATTAAAATAATTAAATCTAGTGCTTACGCCAAAAAGCCAAATAAATTCTGTGAATTGATTATTATTATATAATATTATCTAACATCTCATGAAATGTATTTTTTTTTGTAATATTTAATTTTGATGAAAAATAAAATATCAAATTTTAATCGAAAACTACATAGTAGGGGGTACAGTAAACACGCCTCTACTTAGTTAAATATTAAGTGGAAAATGTTATAGAAATATTGTTTACATTGTACATTATGCAAATAACATACAATATAACAATAAATTATCTATCATATACAGTTATACCTAAATTTTATCTTTTCTGCATCGTGATCGGGAATTAAATATGGAATAAAAACAACAAAATATGCACAGTAGTATGGGTATGTTACCTACTGACTATAGGAGACTAACTACTCGACGTCTGTGCTTTTAAATTACTTTTTCGATTGATTGGTGGTAAGTCACCGCATCCAGAAATAATATATTTTGTACTTTGGTAAAAAGTGTCTCATGCCAATAATAAACTCAATATCGAGTTGCCCATGTCTATGAAAAACATAGATTAATTTATCAGGTAAAGTAACTGACATTATACAGCTTGATTGCAATGGTCGGGGATATATTAAATAGATTGATCTGTATAAATACATTGCTCGATTAGACATAGGAATATAGGCTGCAGTTGGCCTATCGGTTTTCCAATTATATTTTTTATTGATTTAATATTTATGATATATGTTTGATAATATGCTGTTCTGTCTTTTGTGATTACGTAGGCCATTAGTCAATAGTTATAGTATTTATTTACGAACGTTTCCCCAGCCCCACCCAACTTGAAAAATTGAAAAAATGTTTCATTAATATTTAGTACGGAATTTGTATGAATTTGTACGACAAAAATCAAAATTTGTACGGAATTATTTTCGAAGGAAAAAGCAAAAAAAATTGGGGGGG